CCCCCCCCCCCCCCCCCCCCCCCACCCCAAGAAAAAAGCAACAGCAAAAAACAACAAACACACATGTTTTGCACACACACACATACACACACACAGGCACACGCAGGCACACACAGGCACATAGACACCCACCCATCCACCCCCCCTCCCACACACACACACACTCATACACACACACACACACACACACACACACACACACACACACACATACAAACACACACACTCATGCATACACACATACACACACATACACATGCACACATATACACAAAACAAAACAACAACAACAACAACAACAACAACAACAACAGCAAGAAAACAAAACAAAGGAAAACAAGAAAAAACAAGCTGTAAAATTGTCAACATTCAGACATTTTCAAAGACCAATATTTGTAAAAGAAACAACGTCTTGGTTTCTGTGCGTTATTATAATAGTATTATTTATTTCCCATGCTATGATCGCTATTCTCGTTATTGGTTGTTGTAATTGATTTTTGTTGTTGTTGTGTTTTTTGTGCTTTCTTTTTCTAAAGTTTTTTTAAAACAACTATATTAAACTCTCCGTATGTTTAAAATTCCTTGCTGTTACATGTGACCGATTGGTAATGTATTATAACAGTCATAATATATATCCTTTGTTAGAATTTGAAACGTTATTTATAAATATTTTTCTTTATTAGAAGAACAAAAAACAACAACAACTTTGTTTTCTTTGTTTTGTTCAACCAGGACGATAGCTAACTACGTGTACTGGCGAGTCACGATGGGCTTCTTGGGTTCCTTAACACAAGAATACAAAGACCATAGGTTTGAATACTACAAGGTATGACCTCGTCGAAAGAGACCCCTGCACTGTCAATACTTGGCCTAGTTGCGATAGTCGTTAATCGGTCGCTTAGCGAATTATCAGGGTTCGAATAAACAATTGGGCATTCATGACCATGGATTGTTAGGGAATATTTAAAGACACAATTGGCTTTATTCCACCGATTTTTTTCTTCTCAAAACACCTGGCAATGTGTAATGAGCCGCTCTGTTTTGGCCACGAAGGTCAACTTATATCAAGTTGAGTCAGTAGATTTAACTACCTTGCAAATTACACCAAATACTAATACCAAAAGTGACACAGAGATATAACAGAGATGACTTCTATATTTAAATATACTTTCAACAAGATGAAACCTGTTTTCTCAAACTGAATCATAACTGAGAACACAAAGATAAGAACCCTGGACGTACGTGAGGTCAATCTTTTTGCATGGTTGCAAAAGTGGGAACTAAATAAGGACAAAAGAGAAGACAGGAACCTGCCGAAAAGTTGTAAGTAAAGAGACAACTCAGTATCTCATGGACAAAGAGTAAACCAAATATGGAAGTGCTCCAAAAGGCAGGTTGTGAAATACAAATATAATCAAAACCATCAGAAATACCCAGTTTAGATTCCTTGGCCTCTTAGATAAATTGAATGGACTATAGAAACTAGTGCTAAGCTGGAACATAATGGAATATAATGGGAAGGAAAAGCAGAGAAAGGTATAGAACAAAATACACACATGGCTTAAATAACTTTGCAACAAATAAGACAATGACAAAAACAAGCTTATGTGAGACAGACGACAGGAAGGAGTGGGGTACCGTTGCCAGCAATATTTATGACATACCTGAAACTTGAAGAAGAAGATATCAACTTGACCCAGCAAAGACTGATCAATTTTAAGCGTCTGCGACCAGGCTATAACTGAACGACCCCGCCAGGATTTTTCTCAGCTCGCCGAAAAGTACAACTCTTTAATGCCAATCACCACATAACACGTGGCAAAAGTGTCAAAATCTGAAGTACATATCACTGTTCAACAAAATCATCTATGTACCCAATATATCATCTTTGTACCCAATATATCATCTTTGTACCCAATATATCATCTATGTACCCAATATATCATCTTTGTACCCAATATATCATCTATGTACCCAATATATCATCTATGTACCCAATATATCATCTATGTACCCAATATATCATCTATGTACCCAATATATCATCTGATGCTTACATTGAGTAACACATTTGATTTAATTTAGACAATTGTTGTATGTGAGTGTAACGACAATTTCGTTTACCTATTGTTTGTCTTATTTTCCTTTCCAAATCACAATTGGACCTTTTCATCATGGAAAAAGAGGAGAATGTGAATACTGTTTAGTATTGAATGCCCTTTCCCCCACCTCCACCTCCCAAAAAATTGTCGTGAATGATCTTGTACCTTGAGTAGGCGGGAGTTGGGGGGGGGGGTGCTTGAAATAGTCTCCTTTCCATTAACAGAGGGCTGCAATCTTACACTCAAGTGGGATGCCACTGATTTAAAAAGTCATTTTGAAAGACATAGCTCTAAAGTTTTATTGGCCTGTTGGTTTGCTTGACTGGACCCACAGTGGATTATAGTGCTGTGACTTTATCCTTACAAAAAGCTTATGTGCGTCGAGTTGTGTGTTTCGCTCATAAAGATACTTGGATTATCTTGTCTTCTTGAGGACTAACAAATGCCTGAGTCAGTTTCATAATAATAATAATAATAATAATGATAATAATAATAATAATAATAATAATAATAATAATAATAATAATAATAATAATAAATAGCATTTGTAAAGCGCATGTCCCTCTCGAAAGCAAGCTCTATGCGCTTTACACTACATTATTACCCCAGCAGACCATAGAACACTCAGAAACATTCTCAGCTTCCCGGGAAGCACGCAGTGCAAGCAGCTGGTTAAGCGCTCAGACACTAACAAACTGACAAGATCTTTCACTGTCTATAGCTGGGTACCCATTCCCACCTGGGTGAAGTGGGGGAAATTCGTGTAAAGTGCCTTTCCCAAGGACACAACGTCGGGCCCGCGGCTCGAACCCCCGAACCCGCAACCTCACGATTACGAGTCCAGTAGCCTAACCACTAACATCATACAGAACTATACTACGCGATTCTGACCTATGTTCGAATCCTTAATAGATTGTTTTAAGACTATGTTTATTTTGAGCGTTTAAAGTTACACAAAAAAGTTACTCCAAAATGATATTATTGTTTTATTGTTCTCTTTTTAGGTTGTGTACGGTGTCAAGACAGAAGAGGCACGGGACAAGATGTGCTCACGTTACACCAGATATCAAACAGGCTTCGCCATCGGCAAAATTTTTGTCGAGCGGCACTTTGAACCCGAAGCCAAAGCTATGGTAATACGAATCTTTGTGAGTTGGGGGCACTCTGTTTCCCAACAGATACGATGACATGTTTCAGTTGACGATTTCAATGAGAATTATCGTGTAATAAAAGAGATCTCAAGAGGACAGGTGGTCGGTAAAGATAGAAAGGCAAGAAAAGTTTACAAATGAGCTTCTATTGGCTCTTTAATCAAGAAGGTAGCGTCGTCGTCCAGTGGTTAGGCTGTTGGGCTTGCCACCGAAAAGTCTTAGGTGTGAACCCCGCCAAAGGCTCAACGTTGTGTCCTTGAGAAAAAGACTTTGTACAAATTGTCCTCACTTCACCCAGATGGAAAGAGTACCAGACTATAGATGGCGAAACATTTTGTTGGTGCATTAGTGTTTGAGCTAATATATAGTATGATTTCCTGGAAGCTGATAATGTTTCTGAGTATTCTTGGGCCAGGTGGTGTCATAATGGTTGTAAAGCACATAGAGCATGCTGAAGAGGGTGGATTTGTGCTATATAAATGCAATTATAATATCATTATTATCATTATTATCATTAGTATTACTATCATTATTATTATATTATTATTATTATTATTATTATCATTATCATTATTAGGAGATATAGTCATAGACACAGAGAGAGAGAGAGAGAGAGAGAGAGAGAGAGAGAGAGAGAGAGAGAGAGAGAGAGAGAGAGAGAGAGACAGACAGAGAGAGAGAGAGAGACAGAGGAACGGAGAATACGATCATGCGGCACAAAATGCCTAGGCGTATAGTAGGTCTGACTTTCAAATAGTTATTAGGTGAGGTAAATGTAGAAAGGGATTGTCATTTAGGGACTTTCAGATTTGGAAATATCTCCCTTATAAAAATGCTCTTGCAATAATTCAGGAGGCTGGTATGCCTAATCTAAGTGGAGTCTTGACATTTGATTTAATGTTATTCACTACTAAAACACTGCAGTAATGTCGTTACACTGACTATGTTGTAATTTGATCTAACTAACAGGCCCTGGAAATGATAGCTGGTCTACAGTCTGCTTTTGATGAACTAGTGAATGAACTCTCTTGGATGGACGCGGAGACGAAAAGACTTGCTCAGGAAAAGGTGGACACTATTTTATATTATTAAATACAACAATGTTTTTTTTAAAACCCTTTACAGTGCATTGAAACTGCATCATTCATATGGGCATCAAGTTCACTACGGATTGGATACTAGTAACCTATGAGAATTTACTTTCAATTCAGAAAAGTCTGTTCCGGACTATGGTTTAATTATGTTTGAAAAAAAAAACCCCAACCTTGCAAAGTTCTTTGGTACACTGAGTTTTACCTTAAATAAACCTGTTAAACTTAAACACCTTTCCAAAGGTACTCATTAACGTCACATTTCAATAGCCATTAATGATCGTTCTTAAGTAGATATTTCACCCCCTTTATTCTCTTTGCAGCACGTCATATTGTTTCTCGCCCTGGGGTCATTTTGTATCCCCGGGGTTGTATTCTTCACATTTTAGAACACTTCTAGTACGAAGATCTCTTTGAAACTTCCAGTATTTCTCGAAAAGATCATTTTGACAGAGTGCTATGCAAAGCGTACGGATCAGATTAACGGGTAAATTTCCTCTTTGGAATGTGGTGGCACAGAGTTCCCCACGTCGTATGGATACGATTGTAAAACACAACGTACGAATAGGGTTACGTATATTTTTTAAATCACGACTGTTCTTGTTACACCCTGCTCTCATAAATCTTACTAATGTGACTATTAAACATAAACCATTTACACTTTGTAAATGTTGCAGTCATAGAACAAATGTGTCGTTGAGATAGAAACAAAATTTTCTTTTGAATTGTATTTTCAGAACGAAGTCATTCAGTCCAAGATTGGTTACCCGGAATTTGTGAGAAATGACACGTATTTAGAGGAGCTTTACTCAAACGTAAGTGGTTTTGACGAAGTCGGTATCGGGTAATTATTATGACTTTTTTTCTTTGTATATCACACCCAGATAATAATTGTTAAGATGTCTGTTAGAAATTACTCATTTGCTCTCAGATGGTTGAACAATTTGCCGTTCAACTGCTGTCTGTCTGTTGTGATTCAAGCCATTAAGTTACACACGTGCATTTTCTAATAATAATTAATAATTTTTAAAAAACATACACCATCCTATCAAGAAGTTACAAAAGTAATGATGTAAATAGTAATCATTTAAAAATCCAAGAGACAAGTACATTTTTTTTAGCAAGATAAAGAACCTAGATATATGTTAAGATTCATAACACTTCCCCATGAACAACCAAGTAAATCATATGACTCGATGTGCGCACCTTGATCTCAGAAGAACACACCCATCAGAAAGAAAACAACACAGTCGTTTAAAGTCGACAATTATTGTTTCTATGGAGTGTCGTGGCTCAGATGAATTGATTTGATAATTAATTTGTTAAGTTGTTCTCTAAATTGTAATTGGTTTAAATGCTTGGCTTAACAGACAAATCTTAATCACGAAATGATTCCTGTTTCGACTGTGCTTGTAGAACCAATGGGAGAGCAGAGGGATACGTGCAGCAGGGGAACAGAGATACTCTAAGACAATTACAACAATTAATGGACCAACTTTCTAATTTATCAACAAACTAATTTGTTTCAGCAGCATCACTCCTGAAAAAACCCTAGTCTGAACAGCTTCCTTCTTAATTGACATACTTAGAAAGACGTAATCTTTAAGGCGTGTTTGATTTTTTTTCAACTCCTGGCACAAGGCCGCCCAATAACATTACACTTGAGACAGAACTAGTTTGATTTATGTGTATGCATTTATGAAAGAATGTTTTTGTGTACAGGTCTAAGGCTTGGACATATTGTTTGGCTCATGGTTTGCTAATGCCTGTGACTTGCCAGAAAAACCTTCACTAAGATGCGTATCCGCACTGACGAGTAACAAGCATCGTATATAATTCTTGTTTTTATTCTCCAGCTTACATTTACAAGTGACCAGTACTTTGAAAACAACCTAATGATAATGAAGGAGGGCTATGGCAGTTGGATGCGAGTACTAAGGAAGCCAGTGGACACGGACGCGTAAGTGGTGGGCTTCTCTATTGTCTGTCTGATACCTCTATTGTGTGTGGCTCTTTATCCCCGCGCTTTTCTTGATCTGTGTGTCTGTCTTTTAGTCTGTCTATCTGTCTGTCTCTTTATATTTCTATCCCCCATCTCTCCTTTCCCCCCTGTCTGTCTGTCTGTCTGTCTGTCTGTCTGTCTGTCTGTCTGTCTGTCTGTCTGTTCAGTTTTTTGAGCGCTTGTACACGTGCACACCGGTATGTGTGTGTGTGTGTGTGTGTGTGTGTGTGTGTGTGTGTGTTTGTTTGTTTGTTTGTTTGTATTGACACGTGCATGTGTTGCTGTGTGAGGTAATGGTGGATATAGGGAGCATTTTCTTTTCGTACGTCTTAAAGTGCCTTTGCAGAGCAAAAAACATTAAATCTCCACATCTTTTGTCAAAGATCGTTTGAGATCACATATAGTATCAACACTTATGAAAAAATGCTTGGATTAGAAACAAGAACCCACACAGTTATTGTCGTGGTAAAGTAGAATAATTTTCATTGTCAGCGTCTTGTTGTTGGAAATACGCAAAGGACATCTCATTATTTTGACGTTTTTTTCTACCAGTTTGAAAAAATGTTTATCAAACTTTAGGTTCACCACCTTTTAGGTACATTCAAAAACACATTGATTTGTAGATTTTATTCAAAGACGTCGATTAAAGGCACAAGAAATTATGTACAACTCTCAAGTTATGGAAGCCACAAAACTTTAGCTTCCATTTTCTCGCTAATTTTACCTCTGAAACCTGGCTACCCCCACCTCTTTTAATCGCAAATGTATCATTTTTTATTATGTATTGAAGGGCATTCTTCATCCAAAATAGGACAAATGAATAAGCTTTAAGATAATATCAAAAACTCCAGATGCCCGAAAATTGTCGAGTGCCTGATTCCACCGCGTTATGACACCTTTATTGTTCCTTATTCTTTCTAGTCCCGTCATGTTCTCTAACCACTCTGCAGGTAAGGTCCTCAGAACACAGACATTTTACTGCCAAAGTTTATAATGGTGCATTAAAATAAAAATAATAAACAGCATTTGTGTTGTTCATACCCCCGCTCGACAGCAAGCTCGATGCGCTTTACGCTTTATTATGTAACGGAACTGGACTAATTCTATATATAGATGACTTTTATAATTCTCATAACAGTAAAAAGCGTTACTGT